ACCGTGTGTCCATGTTTGAACTATAAATTTAATATTTCTGGAAGCGTTTAAGGCTTTATAACCCCTTCAAAATTGCACGAAAGATGCCTCTCGAACACTCATTCGGCGTGTGGTAGAAAAATAAAAAATGTCGCAATTAAAATAAACAAAAAATAAAAGAACTTTAAATGCCATCGAAGCACAACATTTCTTTATCGACTTCGCATATTTAATTTTCCCGCCACATGAAATACGGGCACTGATCTCAAAGTAGGACTGGATAGAGAATATTTGTACCATGGACAAGTAAATATCCTATTGTTACCCTTGAAAAACTAACAATATTTTTAAACTCTTCCAAAATTCCCGTAAAACGATGTTTACTACACTTAAAACTTGATCAAACATGGAAATTTATAGTGTAGGTAGTTTGTGGTTGAACTACCTGAAAAACATATCTCAAACGTGGTGGTCCAGTGTAGGTAATATTGTACAATAAGTCAATAAGCTACTGTGGTTCGTATCTCAAACTTGGTGGTCCAGTGTAGGTATTATCCTACAATAAGCTGCTGTGGTTTGTATATAACTGAACTACCTGCAAAAGATATCTCAAACGTTCTGGACTACCTGAAAAAGTTCTCAAACGTGGTGGGTGTAGGTGGTACTCTACAATAAACTGCTGTGGTTTGTATCCGAACTACCTGAAAAAGATATATCAAACGTGGTGGGTGTTGGTAGAATACTACAATAAGATGTCGTGGTTTGTGTCTTAACTACCTGAAAAAGATATCTCAAACGTGGTGGTCCAAGGTAAGTAGTATTCCACAATAAGCTGGTGTGATTTGTATCTGAACTATCTGAAAAAGATATCTCAAACGTGGTGGTCCAGTGTAGCTAGATAGTATCCTACAATAAGCTGCTGTGGTTTGTATCTGAACTACATGAAAAAGATATCTCAAACCGATGGGGAGAATGGTCTGTCAAGACATGAATGATCTGGAAGCCTGGCAAACTTCAAAGCCACAAAATAGAAGACCTTCGTTTGATGTTGAACTGTACCTCACCCTGTCTCAACTTCATTAAATATTATTCATCCTGGTTGCACGTTTCATCTCAGCTATCCCTATTGGACGTATACTTCATTATACAAAAATACAATGAGCTCAATCACCGTGACCGTGTACAAATTAACATAAACTCCGACAAAACATAACACAATGACTTCTGTTTAGTTTCCAAACAATCATATCTTGATACATTATGATGTAAACATCTCCAGACTAAGAATAGACAGAACACGTTTGAAGTATAAAAATGCACACATTTATTTAATTTCCTCTGCGCCCAAAAAGGCCAAAAGGCTAGATTCTAAATCTTAGTAACTTATCCTGACGATTCAAAAATCCCTAAATTCTAATGTTTGTTAAAAATCAAGCAATTTCCACAAGAAAATATATACAATAAAAATACAGAAAACTAATTAGAAAATAGCTCATTAATATTACTGTTTATATTTAGGTGATCATTATTGTTACTAGAATGAAGTTTCCCCGCGCGTGATTCGCGAGGGATGGTTTCCACGCGCGACGGTTTTCACGCGCTACGCGTGTTATTTTCGTGCGACTACATTTACACACATACATAATAAATTAGTGACGTCTATACATTATCTAAATTGTTAGTGCGGGCCTAAAAGGCATTTGTCATTCTTCTTCAAAGGAATATGTCTGTCCTGAGCAATTCTGTGTAGGCGACATCTGAGGTTGCTGTTACTGCTAAGATGACCTTCACCAACACCATTATACTCATCTATCCATTTGTTCTATCCTGTGATCCATTATTACTCTCACATACCACCTTACAATATCCATAACCATCCACTGATGTCCTATGTCGTACGAATACGTCCTTTTATACCCATGAATGTACCCAACGATCGATTGTATTCATCTACCCATTATTGCTCCTAAACGTCCATCTGACTATATCCATAACCATCCACGAATGTTCAACGTTGTACCAATATGTTCCATTATATCCACGAATATACCCAACGATCCATTGATATCCTATTATGTCCCCCCTAGTTATTCGTCTTTGAATAACTCATTGCAATGTTCAATGTAGGTCTGAACAAACAGACACATGTTCATAGTCCTAGAGAAGTTATCGATCGTGGCCACGACTGGCGGTGCAAGGGTTGGCCAGAATACGATCGCCAAGTTCCGAGATTCCATCATGTTCGTATCTCTTTGCTCTGTTACCCTACACAACAAACAAATATAGGAGAATTATTAAATAACATCGTATTGAAAACGTACCAAGTTATTGTTACATGCAAAACATTTCTATGACTTTCCATGACTAAAACAAATTTTCCAGAATTTCCAGACCTGGATTTTAATAAATTAAAATATTCAAATTCCATGACTTTCCAGGTTTTTCATGACCCGACGAATCCTGTTAACTTATTGTAGACGGGTTTTGTAGATGAAAATTTCCAGTGTGAATTTTATACATTCATTCAACCTCACCAGGAGCAGTTGGGAAAATTACAACCGTAGGCTCTGTGACAGGAATCGAACCTGCGACCCTGCGATTCCGGTACAGCGGTCAAACTAACTGAGCTACAGAGTCCAGGGTCGCAGGTTCGATAAAAACATAAGCAGGCAAATCAGCTGGTCCGCATTTCCTCCGGATTTGAAAGTGAGTTAGGTATTATGAAATCATGCCAAGACAGTGGTTAAGTTAGAATTTCCAAAAAATCCTACGTTAGAAAATGAAAAAGTCGTCGGTTTTTCGCCGGTTTTAAGTCGGTCGGTTTACCGGTTATTATTTTAATCAAAACCGCCCAAGCCTATATCGAGGGTAGATTTCCAATATCCTGTTAATAACTTATAACTATGTATAAACAAACGGAGACCAAATTTGTCTTTTTGCTAGCAGTAAAGCTGGAGTAATACGAGCAACAAAATTGCTGCAACTTCCAACAAAATCTGATTTCAACGCATGTTAAGTATAAATGTCGACACATGGCTGCCTCGTGATTTGTAATTTATGTGTAAACACTTTCAATTAACATGCGTTGAAATCAGATTTTGTTGCAAGTTGCAGCAATTTTGTTGCTCGTATTACTCCAGCTTAAAACAAAAGTGGAACATACTTGTTAAGATGGAACATCAAACGTTTGAACACAGCGTAATGGTGAGCTGGCATCAACTTCATTATTTTACGCAGCTCTGCAAATCTTTCGTTGGCATCCATTATCGCTGAATAAAAAAAATTCGTACAAATGAGAAAAATTAATTTGTGTGATAAGCTTCAGTCTCGGCACAAGATTTTGAATTGCAAAATCCTTTTGTAAACAATACGTAAATTATATGGCATTCCAGTATATATTTACATAGATTCAAGATTCTTTAATGGTACTATTTCATTAGATTAATTACAAGCAGTTATATGGAATAGATAATAGAACGAAAAGAAAAAGGAAGATAAAATCAACATAGTGTTAGTGCACAGCAGTGAACTGTAATAACACTGGAACGCTAACTGCAGATAAACATGCCCATACTTGCCTGAAGCCAAAATAGCGCTTCTCGCGAGCACGGCCAGCAATAAATTAACTTTCAAAAGGACTGGGGAGAGTTTCGAGGAGCGGGAAATTCAGTCAAAAGTTTGTTTTTGAGCGAAAATCAGCAAGAAAAAGTACTTTTTTATCAAAAGGCTTCAACTTTAAAGATTCAAACCTGGTTTCCTGGATAGTTCTAAGTATTTTACATCCACTAACAGCAAAAACTTCCTGGGTAACAGCTTGATATTCAAAATATTACACAAGTTTGAACGTGCCGAAAAAAACTTCGCACTTTGACTCCTGAAAAAAGAACTTTATAACTGCTCTACGTTCTGGAAACATGTTTTGTATTAAATTTCAGGTATTGTTGAAAGTTTTTAGCTTTTTTCCTTGTTAAAATACAGCTATTTAGTGGTCGAAAACAGACATCTTTTTGGTGGCGTATTTTCCACTCCATACGTACATGGCGGCCTTCAATTTGGCTTCAAAGATGGCCGCCAAGTTATCGTTCCAGTTCCCTTAGAGTTCACTGGTGCACAGTGGTCAAAGGAGCATAGCTTTCTAGTTGACCACTGTAAGGTTCAAAAATTTCACCCAAAAATTTCCTGCAAGATGTAAGAAGATTTCCTACAAAGATAGTTTGTTAAAAATTTCTTGACGAGTAAAATCGTCTGGCGTTAGACAGAGTAAATAGGGAGCTTAAGCATGTAGGACGGCAATACGACGACGACGGCCAAAACAAATTCCTTCAAATAAATTATAGTTATCTATAGTAAAGAAAACTTGTTGTATATTATAATTTGTATGAATTTAATACAATATAAGGGAGTTGAAAACATTGGCTTTATGTTTGGGAAGAGTTCTACTGAACCGAATTTTAAGTTGCACTTGTTACGGCTTGAAATGCAGGCGTTGTATAAAAGACGTGAAAATCTGTGATTTGCCGTTGTAAACAGAGCGACGACTACGTCTGAAACTCCCCCGGGACTTTAATTATTTATATCTTTTCATTGACTCATTGTATTGGTTGCCGTCATCGTCGTGTTGCTGTCCTACATGCTTAAGCTCCCGATTAATAAAGTAGGACGCGTTATGGCGCAATGCAGTTTAATGGGTTAAACTTACTTGTGGCAGCAATAATGCCATCATAATTGCCACTTGGAATTAAAGCTCCTGGCAACTTGGTGAAGAAGGATTTCAGAGCTCCAGTAACGGCGTGTATCGTTAGTCCTAATTCCGAGAATTCCTGATTTGGGTCCTCTTCAAACTTCTGGTGAACAGATTCGACATCGGCTTTGTTTCCACTCACACGATAGATTCCTTTCACTTGCATTCCTGACACACAATGAAAAAATATGTTGTTGTCAAATGCAACGACCAAGGGTTGGTTGACTACCGGGTGTCCCCAAAAAAACTGGACACTGTTTCATTTCATGTAACGTAAAAGCTATAAAAGCTATCACAATGAAATAAAGACCATTGCATTCAGAAAGGACTAACTTAGATTTTGATATATAGCACTTGAATTTACATGCAATATTGACTGCGCTATTGATGTTTGAACGTTGAACTACTGTTTTTGAAAATGCCAAAAAATAGTATAAAACAACCTTATAATTACCGATGTAATTATACTTGTTAAATAATATATATTTTTATTTTGGTTGTATCTCGCTCAATATTGCATTTAAATTTAAGTGTTATATATCAAAATCTAAGCTAGTCCTTTCTGAATGCAATGATCTTTCATTGCGATAGCTTTTATAGCTTTTACGTTACATGAAATCAAACAGTGCCCAGTTTTTTTTGGGACACCCGGTACAATTTTTTGTAGTTCGCTACAGCTACTTCAAGATAGTGTAGTCAGCTACAACTACTACTGCTGCTTTTCAATAATGTATTTCGCTACCGACTACAGTTGCTGTTTCAAAAATGCAGCGAACTATTCGCCATGACATGCTGGCATCTTGCTATCCACATTCGTAATTAACATTGATGTTAGACAATGTTCTTCTAATTTGTAACTAGTGCTTCGAATGGCAAGAAAAGTGATCAACTTAAACTCCAAACAGGTTAGAACCGTTTTATAATACTGGATCTCTAGGGGAACAGATTAGAACTGATAGAGCGATCTAGTATAAATAAAGTTAGTTTATAATTTAGTATTCCTCCTGTAGTAGCACTGGATCAATAAGAGATGATTCTTACTGGATCTCTTGGGAGAACAGTTTAGAACTGCTAGTCTGCTAGAGTTATCCAGTATAAATGAAGTTAGTTTAGTTTAGGTTTCCTCCTGTAGTAACACTGGACCTACAAGAGATGATCTTTACTGGACCTCTAGGGAGAACAGTTTAGAATTGATAGAGCTATCCAGTATAAATAAAGTTAGTTTAGTTTAGGTTTCCTCCTGTAGTAACACTGGACCTACAAGAGATGATCTTTACTGGACCTCTTGGGAGAGCGGTTTAGAAATGTCAGAGCTATACAGTATCAACTTACCACTATCTTCGACGAAGTTAATGCATTTCGTAACAAAAAGTGGCACAAGAGAGTCCTCAGGACAGATGTCAGGCAAAGGTTGACCAAAATATTTACTTCTGCTCGCTTTCGACATTTTCTTTCTTTGAAATTCTTCTTGTTTTTTCCTTATGCGTTCTTCTTTTTTCTTCTGAAGTTTTTCTTGTTTCTTTTGTTTCTTTTCTTCACGTTTTCTGTTCCTTTCCGCCTCCTTCTCATCCTTCGTACGCTGGAAAGTATAAATAATGTATGAGGGAAAAGCTTCATAATAAAGATGTACAATTTACAAATGTTGTCAGACATGTGGAAAGGCATTCTTTGCTGTTTCGTAAGTTAGTAGTAAGTTAGCAAATAAGTAAGTTGGCAAGTAAGTTAGCAAGCGAGCAAGCAAGCAAGAAAGTAGGCAAGCAAGAAAACAGGCAAGCAAAAAAGCAGGCAAGCAAGAAAGCAGGCAAGCAAGAAAGCAGGCAGGCAGGCAAGCTGTCTTGTTATCGTCGCTATACCTACACTGGCACAGACTGTTCGAGATTGAGAATAGTTACCTTCCTATTGTCATCTTCCGTATCCTCTTCTGTGAATGATTCGCCATCATCCAGACCAGGAGACAATGCCTAGATTGAAGATACCAAATGAGTTCAGTACGATGATTAATAAGCAGATAAACCGAATATTTTAACATTGCTACCAGAATCATCCGAAATTCAGTCGAGCCCCATAAGAGGACACCCCTCTTAACAAGCGGACACTCGGCCTTCTTAAGTGGACACATACCTCCGGTCCCAATCGTGTTAAAAACAATGTTAAAAACAATATTTCACTCACTCGCTGCGCTCGTTCGTAAAATATTGTTTTCACCACTCGAAGATAAAAAGTCATATCTTCGCGTGTAATATCCTCTATATATCCAGTGTATTAATGAATTATGACTGTACAACTCATTACAATTACTACAAAGTTTCTTTCAAAATATTGCATTAAAAGGGTACTTGACACAGAGATGAATGCATGGCTATCACTGTTTCAATTTTACAGAAAAACTTTCTTTCGAGTTTCGAAGTGTAGACCCTAAGAAATCAAAACATTTTCACTTTGATCTATCACTGAAACTTTGTGCAAAAACAATCTCAGAGGAGGTGCACACCGCCCATCAAAATCCGGCCATGTTTAATATGACACATTGGTGAGGTCCCGAAGGTATCCGCCTACAATAGGGGTTCGCCTGTAGTTTAATACACGACACAAAAAAGCAGGAATCATTGCAGACTTACCCTGTTATCTAGTGTCAAGCTGTTATATTTAGCTTTATGACCAGCAGCACTCCACTCTCTGGTTTCATAACGCTTCGTCAGAGGACCAAAGTTCCGGGGTACACTTCTACTACGACTAAGGTTCTTCTCATTTGGTTTCATGTCGGACTCTGAAAATTAAACACTTTTTAAAGTTTTATCATAGGGGACCTACGGCCATACAGCCCGTAATAAGTATGCCCGTTCGCAGGTTGAAATTTAGATAGGAGACTGAAATGTGATCTTTGCTCATTCACAAGTACAGTTAGGTGCTTTACAGCCAAGCAATTGTTTTTGCTATGTACGTTGAAAGATATACGTCCTCCAAGTTAGACATGAAAAGTAGTTGCCAGGAATAAAACTCACATTCCATCAGGTCTAGTGTTGTCCTTGCATATTAGCAAAATTTGAAGCAAATGATAGCAGTAAGGATTGATTAATCAACATTCTAATCTCAGGTTTTCTTAACAAAGTCATTTGAAGACGTGATCACGAAGTGTTGATTTCACCTATCTATTAAGAGTTTTTCAAATGTTTTTCAACGTAATGAAAAGTGTTCAAAACCTAAAACCTTTTTGGCGTTCCTCTCAAAATTACTTTGTTTTAGCTTTATTCTCTAGTTTATAGAGTTAGCTACCTTTTTAAAGTGCCTATGCGACAATTCTTTTTATGATTGAATTGCAAAGTTCATTTAAAATTATAATATAACTTGTTTTTTAAAACTTTGTAATCTTTCCTATTTGTCAAGATTTTCGACTTTGTTTGATATACAAATGTGACTTAAATGACATCACACTGCATAATGCTTTTACAGAAGACTGTGTTGTAGCTTGTTAAAATTCTCATTATCTCAACTTTACAGACGAAATGATCGCTTTGATAGCTCTTAAAGTATATCACTTTCAATGTCAGTGGAATTATTACATGTTTGGCAAGGAAACGTTTTCTTTCTAAAAACTCATTATGCAGTGTGACGTCATTCAAGTCACATTTGTATATCAAAGAAAGTCGAAAATCTTGACATACAGGAGAGAATACAAAGTTTTAGAAAACAAGTTATATTATGATTTTACATGAACTTTGCAATTCATTCATAAAAAAAATTGTCGCATAGGCACTTTAAATGCATCTGCCGGTTGAGAAACATAAAATAATAGTTAAAAATTGTCAATTAAAATTCAATTATCAATGATGCTCTAAAATTGACGCCATATTTACAGCCATATAAGCAAAACTTACTTAACTTCAGACATCATTTTCTCTTTGGCGTACCATGAAAAATCTCTTCATTTTAGCATTACTTTACAGATAAATCACTAAACATACTTTTTAAGTTTGTTTGCCGAGTGAGAAACGTATCGAAAAATAAAAATTTTGAATTTAGTCATAACCTCAAATGATATATTAAACGCATTAGTTTTGAGCGCGTGTTACGTAACATACAAGAAAATCTCCTCTTAATAAAGAATGCACAATATAAACAAGCAAACAATTTTGCGTAGCTATTAATTTCTGGCAAAAAATTAAAACAACTTGCAACCAACAACCAACTTCTATTTGCCCGTAAGGCCAAAAAAAAATATGTGGGTTTCCGGTTTCCCGACCCTACCTAGCTTTTGGACGTCGAAATCCCGACCCTAAACTTTTTTATTGGATCATGTTTGTAAGTGTTTCCACTTAAAGGAAAAAGTTTGTGGAAAATTGAAATTTGAGGAAATATTAGGGAAATTTATCTTTGGATGTGGAAGCACTGACTAAACAAAATGGCGTCCGCTTGTTCGGAAAATTTAAAAAAAAAGTTTAAAAAAAAAAGTTAAAACCGACCTACCCTACCTAAGTTTTTATAAGAAGAAACCGGAAACCCACATATTTTTTTTTTGGCCTAATGCATTTGACTTGCTCAGATCAAGCCGACATTGGGCAAGTACAGTACTAAGTTATAGCACTGCCACCCACTGGTCTACGCGCAAAATTTCCCATCTTACCTTTCCTCTTCCGACTACGTCTTGCGGGCATCGGAGAGCCTTTCCGTGACTTTCTTATGCTGGGAATACGAAGCTTCTTTGAGCGTTCAAGAGTGGCTTCGTCGTCTGCAGTTTGACCGTCATCTGAGCACACCGAATAGTGCATGCGAGGTAGAGGGATTTCTGTCATGGGTGAAGACTGTTCTGACTTGGGTGAATTGAGACCTAGGAATTATTAACCCCGAGTTAATATCAGGATTCTGCGCATCTATACTCGATATAATCAATGGACCATTTGCATTATAGACTAAATTTTGGTTTAGACAAAAATTTCATCACAGCTTGAAAGAGCATCACAAAATTAGTAATATTCCAAAGTTTCGTTGCGAAATGTTGTAAAATGCGGATAATATAGCCTTGCGAAATTTGCAATTTTCAGTCATTTTGTATTACAAACGGAAAATTGATGCCCCAACACCCGATTGGGCTGTCAATTTCCCGTGCGTAATACAAAATGACTGAAAATTGCAAATTTCGCAAGGTTATATTATCCGCATTTTACAACATTTCGCAACGAAACTTTGGAATATTACTAATTTTGTGATGCTCTTTCAAGCTGTGATGAATTTTTGTCTAGACTTGTCTAGATCAAAATTTAGTCTATAATGCAAATGGTCAATTGTAGAAGAATTTTGTAGACGGAAATTTCGAGTGTGAACTTTTATTCGGGTGGACAACTGGCCTTTGTATATAGCCCAGGGGCCGATTGTATAAAAAAGTGATTAAAGTTAACTATAGTTAGTGGAAACGTCATCCAATAAAAAGCGCGTATTTGAGAGTTAATCACTATTTAACTACAAAATAGTGATTAAAAAAGTGATTAAGAGTTTTATACAACGGCTCCTGGTTATTTCAGCAGCGAACGAAAAAGAGTTAACTACTTTTTAACTGCAGTTAGCGCTAACTACGTTTTTATACAACCGGCCCCAGCTGGTTAGGCGCTGCACCGGAATCGCAGGCCGCATGCAGTTGCATTGCAAACTAATAAATGTACAAAATTCACACTGGAAATTTCCATCTACAAAATCCTTCTACAATTAACCCAGAGTTAAGTCGCGGTCTAACAAGGATGATGAGAGTTGAGAAACGAGAGTTTGCATGAGAGTTGAGAAGCGAGAGTTTGCATGAGAATTGATGAGAATTGAGAAGCGAGAGTTTGCATGAGAGTTGAGAAACGAGAGTTTGCATGAGAGTTGATGAGAGTTGAGAAGCGAGAGTTTGCATGAGAGTTGATGAGAATTGAGAAGCGAGAGTTTGCATGAGAGATAAGAAGCGAGAGTTTGCATGAGAGTTGATGAGAGTTGAGAAGCGAGAGTTTGCATGAGAGTTGAGAAGCGAGATTTTGCATGACAGATGACAGTTGAGAAGCGAGAGTTTGCATAAGAGTTGATGAGAGTTGAGAAGCGAGAGTTTGCATGAGAATTGATGAGAATTGAGAAGCGAGAGTTTGCATGAGAGATGAGAAGCGAGAGTTTGCATGAGAGTTGATGAGAGTTGAGAAGCGAGAGTTTGCATGACAGTTGAGAAGCGAGATTTTGCATGAGAGATGACAGTTGAGAAGCGAGAGTTTGCATAAGAGTTGATGAGAGTTGAGAAGCGAGAATTTGCATGAGAGTTGAGAAGCGAGAGTTTGCATGAGAGTTGATGAGAGTTGAGAAGCGAGAGTTTGCATGAGAGTTGATGAGAGTTGAGAAGCGAGAGTTTGCATGAGAATTGATGAGAGTTGGCAAAGCGAGAGTTTGCATGAGAGTTGATGATAGTTGAGAAGCGAGAGTTTGCATGAGAGTTGAGAAGCGAGAGATTGCATGAGAGTTGATGAGAGTTGAGAAGCGAGAGTTGGCATGAGAGTTGATGAAAGTTGAGAAGCGAGAGTTTGCATGAGAGTCGATGAGAGTTGAGAAACGAGAGTTTGCATGAGAGTTGATGAGAGTTGAGAAACGAGAGTTTGCATAAGAGTCGATGAGAGTCGAGAAGCGAGAGTTTGCATGAGAGTTGATGAGAGTTGAGAAACGAAAGTTTGCATGAGAGTTTGCATGTGAGTTGAGAAACAAAACTTTGCATGAGAGTGATGATCGCTAATCCAGCTTTAAACAACCGGTTCCCTGTGTTAAAAAGTATTTGTAATAAACACAAGCCTATACCTTCAGTTCGATCCGACAAAGTCAGACGCTTCGTTGGACTACGACGACACTCAAGACGTTTCTGTGTCGCAGCGTTAGCAGCATTACCAATCAGTTCCTGCATAGTGAACTCGTCAGCCGACCTTAAAAATAATAACAATTTATTTAATTTGATACCAACACTGGCGAAAGAAAGATAAAAAAGTGAGAAAACAATGGATGGATTCCAGCTATATACAGACGAAATTTTGATCTAGGCAAGAAGAACAAAATCGATTACTATAGGTGGAAAGAGCATCTTAATATGAGTAAAATTGCAAAGTTTGGTTGCGAATAGTTGAAAAATAAGGAAAATATAGCCCCGTAAAGTTCGTAAATGTTGCATTACGCGTGGGAAAAATAACCATTTTTGAGCCGAAAGTGGTTATTTTTACCGCGCGTAATACAAATATATACAAAATTTGCGAACTTCACGGGGCTATATTTTCTTCATTTACAACATTTTGCAACTAAACCTTGCAGTTTTACTCATTCTAAGACGCTCTTCCTGGCTGTGGTGGATTTCGTTCTTCTTGCCTTGATCAATTAATGAATAAAAGTGCAAAGACAGCGTCTTCAAATTTTTTTGTTGCAATTACGGAAACTGCACCTTGTATTACAGCGTTTATTATTAGCATGACAAAATTACTGGATGCTGATTGGTTGAGAGGAGTACAATTATTTCATTAATCCTTTAAGTGGCAATGCAACCCGATGCGCCCTACTTCAGTATTTTACTCTGTCTAACGCCAGACGATTTTAATCGTCAAGTGGAAAATGCTGCCACTCAATGGGTTAACCAAATGCCCATGCATCCTCTTAACCTTTCAAGTGGCAATGGGTTAATAGACCTTATGCATAATGACGTCACAAGGGTTGATGCCCGCGAGGAATGCTGGTCTTAGTAGCCATCGCCAGGGAAAATTAAACAATTCAAAATGGCCACTATCGAAATTTTCCCGGGCGATGGACTAGCATTCCTCGCGGGCATCAAGCTTGTAACGTCATTATGCATAAGGTCTATTGTACTGCAGTACAAATAATAATTTTCCCAAAACTAACAAAATGGCGGAAAGGTATTTAAACACCTAGAGGAACTTAAAGCAAAAGAACTAAAATGAAAATACGAACAAAAGCACCAAATTTTGGCTGAAAGGACTGGGCCTTGGCGAGAGAATATGGAACAAGTCGGTGCATGAACGGCACTTACAGGGTTTCTATTGGACTGAAGCAATTTTACCGAAATGATAGAGCCATCTATTTTCAACAAATATATAGTTTTGTTTAGCCGGCTGTTCCTCCTACTGTAAGGAGAACAGTTTAGGGCATACAGATCTCGTTCATGAACAAACTCTAAGTTCGTCAACCCTACTGACCTTGCTATTCGTGGAGTGTCCTTGTTTGTCACACGCATGACGACATTCTCGGTGTAACTGCTCGTGATTTCCGGTATGGTCGAATGTCTGTTGGCTTTCTTGCGTACGTCTTCGATATCTTTGACAGAAGCGTAATCAGGCACTTCTGATTCCTGGAAACAAATGCGTTACACGGATTAGACTAAAAAGAGCTACTTCTCTGCGCTTGTGCAAAATTGGAGAAAGCAAAGGGGTCGCAAAAAAATATGTCAGTGCCAGTGCAGTTAGCGACGATAACACGGCGACTGTCGATTGAGAGTAGGGAGTTTGGCAAATACAACGGCAAAGGCAACGGCAACGTGGTGATGAACAATAGCATTGATACTCAAAGACAAAGGCGAATGTAAATTACATGGTCTTAAGCGTTGTGCAATGCCGTAGTTGTTGAAACTGGTACGTGATTTGCATATTTTCACGGTGCATGACCACGGCAACAGTTAATTCGTTCGATGTTATTTGAGGTGTTTAAGGACTAACTCCAAACCGGCAAAATATACACTTGACTAACTTGTGTAATTCAAAACTGAGTTGAAATATTGGAGCTAGGTATAACTCCAAAAATCATGAAAAAGTTAGGTATCTAAGCCTAGAGTTACTGGCTAACGGCACACTTGGCATTTTGTTCTCGTTCAAAGGCTGGATGTGCAGTTGCGGCGCAACCCATTCTCGATTTCTCGTACCCCTCGACCCTCGTCACGCTCTGTTGACCGCGTGTAAGATGGGCCTGGGTACAAGAATGTTGCATAGCCTAGCTCCACTTGAAGATTGGCTACCTCCACAAAAATAAACTCTGCAGGTATGAGCTTGTATTCCCCCCCGTAGTTCTGCTTGTATTTTTAAAGTAGTTGTGCAGTAATCCACAGCCCTTCCGGCAACAAAATGAACCAGATAAAAATGTCTCACATATTGCAAGACTCCCGATAGCAATAGTCGTAATTTTCGAGCGGACGATTACATACAATTTTAGACCTAACCATGAACAGTTGTGAAAAATGCAACTATACGCCCTCGAGCACTGCGATTCCGGTGCAGCGTTCCAACCAACTGAGCTACAGAGTCGAGATTGCTTCACTCTATTATTCACTAGTTTTCATACCTCCATTTGTGCCAGCGGCGCGCTGTGCGAGAACTGTTTGATGAGGCTTGGTACGGCTCTCTTGTCGTGTAATCGTCGTAAACTGTCGCTGGGAAATCGGTGGTTTGCGGCATTGGTGTACGGTGTGATTTTCTCGCCAAAGAACTGAATCTTTTCTTTCATTCTCATTTCATAAGGATCGCCACTGAGGGGACGCATCTAAAAGATAGGCAGAATTGTTATATACTGTAGCTAGGACGAACACCAAATGTGATTGGCTGATTTGTGGTCACGTGACTGCGATCCCTCAACAAGTGAAGAATTGTTGGCCCGCAACATACATAAGGGACCTTTAGCAAATAGGTGACGGCAACGCGACGACGACGGCCAAAACAAACTCGTTCAAATAAGTAACTTTAAGAACAACATGTCTTGTATTATCCGTTGTATGAATGTATTGCAATTTAGAAGGTTAAGACAGAGGTTTATAGTTGAGAAGGCTTCTACTAAGCCAATTTGGCGCGGACGACTTCTCGCGGCTTGAAAGGCAGACGTTGTATACAAAACGTGAAAATCTTTGTTTTGCTGTTGTACACAGAGCAAGGACGACGTCTAAAACTCCCAAGGGACCTTTAATTATGCATTTTCTTTCTACACTGTCATAAATTTCATTGTGTTAATAGCCGTCGCCGTCCTGCTAGCTAAATGTCCCTATAAATACGCAAAATGACGGCATATAAACGTCGATTTTCCAAGAAGAAGAATACACAGCAGGACGCACGTTCAATTTCTGCAAGGGACCTAAAGTTGCATTTTTCGCTTCTGTTCCTGGTTAAGTGTAACAAATGTATATAAATTTCCACTCGACAATTGCCATCTACAATAGCCATCAAATATGATTCATTCAAGTGAGATGCCACAGAAGTCTTGATATTTACCCATAACCTATACCTGGCAGTACTCTAGCAGGGTTCGTAGTCTCCAAGACCAAAAAAATTCGAAGACTTTCAAAGATTTTTTCTGCCTATTTTGAAAGACTTTTCAAAGACCTTTGAGCGCAATCAGCTGTCGAAAAATTGCGAGTGTGAGCAACATGTTTACCCGGTAATTAGTCCCGTCAAATCACATCCTAAAATGCGCATTTTCGTCGATATTTGCGAAAATCTTGATTCATTCAATCTATTTTATTAGCCAGGAAATCGTATAATCAATTCCTCACTAAAGAATTTAAAGACTTTTAAAGACTTTCTTCGCTTTTTCACACAATTTAAAGACTTTTCAAAGACCTAAGACCTGCATTCCAATAACCCTGTCTAGTATATATACATAAACTTGTGGTTAGAGCTCGATAACTGGCCTCTGTAACTCAGTTAGCCTGCGAACAGGCTCTCAAGCTGAATTGAGAGCCTGCATCGATGACTAATGAATTTCAATATCTGCGTCTCAAATCGTGACGCGAAATTCTCATTGGTCAGATGCTATAATTTATATGTTTCCGCTGAGCTCTATATATGTCAACTGCTGAAGCACTATGCATAAAAAATACATTAACTGATCAAATTGGTATTGGCCGTCCTATCTCAAAGCACGAAATGTTCTGTTTTGAGAAAACAGTGTTTAAAACATTTGAACTTTTGCTTGAATATCTTATATTTCGAAAAACAGTATAAACTGTACGATCTAAATTTAGTTTGCACGGTCTAAATTTAGTTTGCACGGTCTAAATTTAGTTTGCACGAAAGTTGTAAACAACACCATATAAGGATAGACATTCCATATTTGGAAAAATGAACGTTACGGGGCAGATATTCAAATTCATTAGTCATCGATGCAGGCTCTCAATTCAGCTTAGAGCCTGTTCGCAGGCTATAACTCAGTTGGTTAGAGTGCTGCACCGGAATCGCAGGACCGCAGCTTCAATTCCTACCAGAGACCTAAAGTTGCATTTTTCGCTTCTTTTCCTGGTTAGGTGGCTAACTTTGCTTTTTATGACAAAGTGTTTCTAAAATTTATTTAATCTGACAGACCACTACTTGTTCTAGTTTCGTAGGGCCATTGTAAAGGCGGACTTAAAAAATAGTCTGCCGAAAAATTATGAAATTTCTACATGAAATGATACCGATTTTTCCTAATGAATTCAGTTAATTTCCGCGTGGGGGCCTAGGGCAGACCTACAAGACTTGCTACGACTTCCGCCCTCTTTGACTTCAAAAACACAACCGGAGTTGTTCCAGTTTTAATAGAGTTCAGCCCACTCACCTTAATCCCCCGCTGTAATGTGTCATCCACGGTCGAATATCCCTCATCATGATTATTACTCATTGTACTTCCTATAGTAGCATATCTCGGATCGTTCATAGGCCTCTGTTCTTCATCGTCATCTTCCTCGTGTATGGTACGTGTAGGGATAGGAGGGGGTGTATCGGGACCTTCGAAGGTTCCGGACCCTCGATATCCCTGTCTATCATCGTATGAAATGTTATCAAGAGACGGAGTGGATCCCTCCTTGTCCTCGGCTTGGACAGCTCTCAGTATTGCTGCTCGGTCGACTTTAGAGTAGAGATGTTCAAGGTCTTCCACCACCATGTTTTGTTTCTGAGAGAAAACCTGATTAAAATATGATTAGCATGAGTAAATAAACGAATAAAGCATTAGCACGGTCTTAAAGCTATGTACAGACTCCAAGGCAATGTATCGGGAAATTCAAGGATTACAGGGCAGATAAATGGACCTTTAACCTTATAACTAAAATTTTGATCTAGACAAAAATTTCATCACAGCTTGAAAGAGCATCACAAAATTAGTAATATTCCAAAGTTTCGTTGCGAAATGTTGTAAAATGCGGATAATATAACCTTGCGAAATTTGCAATTTTCAGTAATTTTGTATTACAAACGGGAAATTGAAGCCCCAACACCCGATTGGGCTGTCAATTTCCCATGCGTAATATAAAATGACTGAAAACTGGAATATTACTAATTTTGTGATGCTCTTTCAAGCTGTGATGAAATTTTTGTCTAGATCAAAATTTTAGTTATAAGGGGAAAGGTCCATTGGTAAAAGTGTCGTTAAACCATTCAAATGGCAACTTTAATGAATTTCAAACGACTTTCTAGGGGGATGGCGGCTCGGTTCGATGGGGTGTCCGTTTTTTAATGTCAAACAATTTCAGAAAATCAAAAAAAACTAAGAAGAACTTTCGCGCTTCTTTACGAATTCAAAGCCTTTAATTTCATTTTTCAAATTCAAGGATTTTCAAGTTTTGTACGAACCCTGATGTTTGTACGTATCTAGCGTACAAAGAGACGTACCTCGGCTCTCAGCGGAGTGGACGATGCGTACGGATTAACTTCCTCTGTAGAACTTGCATTTGGCGTGCTGGTAAACGGCTGTTGATTCTGATTAAAACCTGTAGGGAATGTTGTTCTCTTTACCACAGCATACGGACTGAGTCCATCGTCTTCCACCAGTGAGACCTCGAACGGAGCGGGCCGGGCAACGAGGCTACTCGAACTGCTATGAATCTCCCGCGTTACCAGTGCCGGTGACTCGTAATGACGTTCGCTCATGCTTCGGTTACGGTTCGCCTTACGGTCGCGAGGTGACGGAGGGACCTCGGGTAATGGATCGTGTTTTTTGCGTGGCAATGTATCGGACGAAAGCGTCGCTACGTGCTCGACGTAAGCTGCCTCGGACTCTCGCTTCTTTTCCCAAACACGGTTGAAAAACACAGCAAATGCACCGGCTGGAAAAACGAAACAAAAATCAGGTAAAGGAGAATGGCAACACAAATTTTTTGTCTCACGTATATTCAAAACTCCTTCACCTAGAAGGGTCAGTTAAGGTGATTCATCAGTTTTGCAATGCGCACTTTTACTGCGCATATCTAGTAACAAATTCTAGCTAATTTATGTAGTCGAACTGCAATGTAAAGTGATAAAGGAAGAGTAAGGGCAAAGAGAAAAACACTCTGCATTGATTATAGGCGTGCTTGAGGAAATATACCAAAAATGACAAAACTCTGGCTCGCTGTGCAACTATAACACTAAACCCATACTAAATCACAACATGTTGCATGTTTAACCCTTGTATCTTTTTAAGAAGGTCCGTGACTCCACTTTTTTATCTTATATTTTTGTTCTTCTATTCGTTTTACATGTCATATCAGAAAATAAGAGAAAAATCGTTTCTAGATCTTAAAATATTTACATTTTTCGCGCATGCTTCCCAAAATAACATGTCTGAGAAAATGGGAAAAAACGTCTTTGCATCACGACAATGCACGTCAATGGTTTTTGATTCGCTAAAATACCATGTTTTCTTGTATATAATGTCTTATGACTAGATAGACATTTTCAGTAAGATCCTTGTTAAAAAATTTCAATAACTGTTCAGCAATTACGATTGTTCCTGTAATTCGTAAAAGGATCAAGATGGCGCCATATGGGGAAAAGGTGGCATATTGCACTTGTCATGTCTTCGAAACGTGTTCGGGGGGACCCCCAACTTTTTTTCTGTTTTTACTATGACCATATTATGCATAAACTTCACTCCTGGGAAGTTTCAGCAAATTTTCATTTCCACAACAATTACTGATGAATCACCTTAAGGGATAATCCCAACCCACTCTGTTATAACAACAACAACAACAATAATAGTTTATTTGTACCTTAATACAATTTACATGATAAAATTACAATTATTAAAAATAATATAAATAATAGGCACAGGCTTCGAGAAATAACCTTAAGAGGCTAAAAATGCCAGGAAGCCCACAACCTTCCCTGTGAGCCAAGAAACCGGAAAAAAGCCACGATTCTCGGTAGAGCGTTGACTGACTCTTCCCACACGAGTGTCATAAGTCGGCAGCGAGAATCGAATCGAACCCACGATCTCACAGGTGAAGGTCCCCACAAATCACTAGGGTGACAAATCAGTAAAAACACAATACGACGTACCTTGATATTGAAATTGTGGCGAAGTAGTCTGAAACTTAGCATAAAGTTTACTTGCTAAGTTGCTTCCATCAGCAAGCAGGGTCTTGGCGACATTACTGTGAAATACAACACTTGCACCAGAATAGCTGCCTGTGGTAGCCAGAACTTGTATGGGGATGGTTGGTATAGACGATGCATAGACGCTAGAAGAGATTACGAAATAAGATTATTATTATTAGGCCGTTTGAGGGGGTTTTAAAGTAGTAAGTCACAACAATTAATGACTGGATGGTATGGAGAAAACGATGAGAAAAGACAATGGAATATTTCGATCACAGGATCAAGATTAGATGAATATATTGCATAATACACTATTACCAAAACCACAGATAGTCCCCCACCCTCAAAAAACCTCCATCTGTTTTCGTGTCAAAACATTCACGGAATACGACTGCATTCCTATGCCTATTCCTGCTAAAATGGCAAACTATCAGGCCTTAAAATATCTTTTACAGGGCCGTCTGACAAAATGTCCGGTGACGTTGAGTTTGGGTCGGACATATGTCCGATGATCTTCAGTTCATTTTTGACTCGGAAATAAGTCTGAATGACACAAATGAATAAACGGTAAATGTTGTAAAAATATTAAATAATTTGTTTCTTTCATACTTATTTCCAAGCCAAAATTAACTTGCTTTCCAGAACAGCAGTATCAAAAAGACTTCGACAACTTAAGCCCGTTTTCCACTTCACCATTTCGCTCGCCGCCCCGTGCTCGACTACGTTCAAACAACATTTCCAGTTGACCTTTTATACAATAGTACTCTGATTTTCCATTTAAGACACAAGTTTCTTGTCCTGGGCTAGGGTACATTTTGATTTACGTTGGACAAAGCTACAGTTCGGTCGGACACCAATACACTCGGGTGAGTCGGGTCGGACAAACAATAAACCTCAGTTTCACTTAGGTCGGACAGAATGTCCGGTGGTTTCCTTTCTACGTCGGACAATTTCACGAATGGGTCGGACAATGTCCGTGACCGACCGATATTTTAAGGCCTGAACTATCGACTCGTATGTATTCTGAAAGCTCACTCACACTCAAAGAGTGGAGGTTCCATTCTTGAGTGTCAGTGCTGTGTTTGAATAGCTGGAGGGTGAGTATTCATAGAGTAAGTTACGACACTAAACCTTCAGCTATTCAAATACAGCATTGATATGCCCTCACGAAAAGCTCAGATTGAACCTCCACTCTTTGAGTATGAGTGAGGTTTTAGAACACAGGTGCATATCAGCTTATTTCAGCACATTTTCCCGGAGAAGAATCAGATGTCGCCATTTCTAGATTGTCGATTTCACGACGATATGCATGTAGTCGCATTCCTGAATATTTTCACAGGAAATCATGGCATGCTTTTTTTGGGCAAGAGGAGGATAGACCGTTTTGGAAATAACTTTTATGCCAAGGGCGTATTTTATGTCCGTGCTTTGTCAGATATCAACTCCTTCTCGTGTTTTAAATAGTACTTAACCTACCTCAGTGTTGACAGCGACGCCGATCTTACAGCAGAGTACACAAGAATATAGCCATGAAATTTTTGATAGTTTAAACTGTATGCACCTAAAGCAGAAGTAGAATACAAATTTAGTATTAAACAGATTAAACTTTGTTAGTCCTAAGCAGTAGAATATTTTTCTTTCTCTGGGATTTGGGTTTAGGGCTCAAAATGTAATGCAAAAGATTACAATAAATGGGGAAGATAAAATTGTCGTTTGTGACTGCAGGTCTTGTGGTGTTATCGTGTGAAGCAATGTGTCGTTAAGACTGATAGGACATACAAGATAAATCCTGAAGTAGTCATATAGTAGTTACAGTCTTGCAGGATTAAAAACAAATTTCCTACTGCAAGCTATATGAATACTTTTGATCAGGCTTTTAGCCAGGGTCCTAAAAGAGGGCGTCCAATTTTGGTACAACGATACATCCACAGTAAAGAGGGGGGGGGGGGGGGGGGGGGGTCGAGAAAACGTTCCTCTGGAAAACCTTTGAAGTTTACGTTATAACCTTCATGTCAGTATCTGTTCCAAGCTCGTTCGAAATTTTTCAAACACACTTGGCTTTGTGAGTTTGTGCCGCTATGCTTCTTTACTTAATTACGACATTTTCATTCAGCCAGGTACACCATCAAACTGATCAAAATGTCAAATGTATAATAATAATGAGAATTGAAGCTATTTCGTTTCAGACATATTAATATACTTAGGGAAATAATTGAAAATAATTTCCCTTTCCCTCCAGAATTTGGGCGTCCAAAGGTGTCCATTTTTTGTTCTAGGGGCGTCCCAGGACGCCTGGACGCCCTTCTGGCTAAAAGCCTGCTTTTGATGAAACTTCCCGCTTTGATTTAGGTATCGAGTTAGTAGATTAACTAGGTGCTTAATCATTATAGGCAGGGTCTGAAATTCAATTTTTTTCGAGTTAACCTGGTAGATTAACCATAAAGTTTTTAAAGTAACTTACGGTGATACGATGTGAACGTGATCATGACTTTCTTTTTTTCAGAACCAACAAAAGTCTCCAACATGACACTGTCATTCCTGTTTGGACATTTCGAACAGGACTGATTCGTGAACAACGGTCCCAGGATGAGCTCGACTGGATAAGGATCGCCACAGTTTGCACAAAGCAAGATTCTGGCAAGTGGGAAAAAATACGTTGTGATATAACATTTACAGTACGCAAGTGATGATTGGTCACAGGGTTTTTAATCAATTATCAATTTATTGAAGAATATACAAATTCACACCAAATGTGAATTACATTATACATTTACAAGAAGTTCTCTACAGTATATACACTACAATGGAGTGTAAAATAGTTTAATAGTATAATAGTTTTGTTTGTGGAAACACCACGTAAATTTCAGATTACTGCAAAGCTTTCGATCCGTAAGCCCGGATCTTCATCAGTGCTAATATTACATATTATTAGCACTGGTGAAGATCCGGGCTTACGGATCGAAAGCTTGGCAGTAATAAATTTACGTGGTGTTTCCACAAACAAAACTATTATATGTTTTATCGCCATGCAAACGTACAAAGAGTTTAATAGTAGTATATATATAGTTAAAAAACTCATTAATAATTCATGAGGAAAAAACAAAGGCAATCACTAGCATGTCGGAGTTTTTTAATGCGATAAGAAAATTTTTAATGCAAGGTGTTTTATAATGCAATAAAAATTATCTATGTATCCCTAATTAACAGTCAAATTCCCTACCTTAAATCAGGATCAGGGTCTTTCATATCCTCTGATGTACATCGTGACCTAGTCTGATTCTTGATTCCTTCCAAGATATTCTTGATTGCCTCATCAACCTGCGTGTCGGTGATCAACTGATCTCGATAGAAGTGACTGATGTGGATGTCGATGAACACACAGCCATACCTAAATATTTAACATAAAGTTAAGTCAGTGGTCAGACGGTCACGTGCAGACGGCGATATCGGACTTGTTGGAACAACTTGTTGCGAGTCTGTTGGCCTCATCAACCTTGTCACTTATTTGTACATTTCCATAGTATGGCTATAGTATGGAAATAGTATGAATTAATGGATATACTATGGTTTAGTGGTGCAATTGCAAATGTCATAGTATGGATTTCATATTTTTTCCCAGTGCTTCTTAATAACATAAACAGTATCCCTTTGACAAGAACTTAAAATATATTGCAACTAAGCTTAGCTTCAGCTATAATAGACAACTTGCATGTTAGACAAATTTTTGATCTAGCTGATCTAAGCAAAAAAAAAGTAAATTCCCGTTAAGAACTTATTAAAATGAGTAAACCTGCAAAATTTGGTTGCGAAATGTTGTAAAGCTTGGAAAATATAGCTTTACAAAGTTTGCATATTTTCAGTATATTTGTATTACGTGCGGAAATTGTTACCATTTTTGAGCCGAAAATGGTAACAATTTCCGCTCGTAATACAAATAT